TATTCCACTGACTTTTTCTGCCAAGGGATTCAAGGCAGTGGGTGAAGGAACTCCCTCTTATTTCATCCTCAAAGCAACAACACAGCCAGTGTGGTTAAGTGGTTAGTGTCTTGAACCAGGATGCGAGTTCTAATTCACTAGGCCATAAAACTCACAGGGTAGTTTTGGTCTGGTCACATTTTGTCAGCTTGATCTATTTCAGGGATTACTTTGAGGCTGAAACGGCAAGGAGGAGAATTGCAAAAATTGCCTTGAATTAACTGGAGGAAAAGCAGGATATAGGTGCAACACGCAACCCTGCGAGGGGTATTAGGATGACAGTGACTCTCTCCGTGCCACCTCATGAACCTTGCAGCAGAACAGAATTTGGATCCCACGTCTTCCAGTCCTACCACATTGGTACTACCCACTTTTTTTCTTGTCCTGCTTCCCATTTCTAGCAATCCATCCAGATGTTTTGGGAATCTATCTAGACCTTTTTTTTCATATCTCCCAGTCTAAATCTTGTTCTTTGGCTACGGTGCCAGTTTGGCTTTCTTGCATTCACAAGATCAGTGCCCTGGAACTTTGCAGCTACTGTATATTCTTTCTTATACTGTACTTATTACCTAGGGAAGTAAATGCCAGTAGAGCGAGATGGAGAACTGATAGCTAGCTGTGACTCCTATCATCTTTGAGCATTTGCTCTGCTGTCCAGAGCTGATAGCAGTTGGAATCTGATGGCATCTGGTGGGCCCTGGGTTCCCTAGTCTTTCATCTGAATGAACACCTGAATCATTATAAATAAGACTGATCGCTGTGTTACTCATCTAGAATAACTGTTCTTCCACCACCATAAGAACGGTTATTTCTGGATCAGTTCCTATCATTAGGTTATTGGCATCTAACATTTCTTGGCCAGATACCCTTGCAAGGCCCGCTCTAGAATTGTCATGGCCTTTGTCGTTTTTCCCCAGAATCTAATAATTGCTCAAATACTGTCATTATTATGAATAGAAACTAGTAAAGAAGCTGTTCCTGTGAAATTATCAAATCCTTTTAAACAGTGAACAAAGTTACACACTGTGGTTGTGCATTCTACCACTCTTATATTTGTGCTCTATGCATACTACAGTCTCTCAGGTTGCCAGTTTTGCTTTTGTTATATCATGTTCCTAGGAAGATGCTGTAAAGAAATGTTATAGTGGCAACCAGGAATTACATGGTTGTTTCCCACAGGGTCATAAATTTGCAAGAACTACCCTGTAAACTCTCACCCCCACTATCCAAAATGGCTAGGGTATTACAAGGTCTATAGCTGCAAAATACTTTTCCAAGGGGGTTAACTGCATTGACAAATAATGTGGAAAATGCTCTGGAATTGGGACAGAGTGCGTCTACACAACATAGAAGCATATAAGCTCAGAGGCCCCTGTGCAACCATAGTTTTTTCCATTGCTGCTGGAGCTTCTACTTTTTTTGACAGTAAATGCGTTTGCATTGGTAAAGGAAGTAATGATTGAGCCAATGCAAAAAGCATCTGTCATCACCGAATAGTGAACAAGGAGCAGTTCTTAAATTAATAGATAGCAGGGTTTTAAAAAATGCTCTTCCATTTTAAAGTGAAACTTTTAGCCCTGTCCATGATAAAACACTCTTTTCCTTCAAATGTCTTGTTTTCCTTTTTTTTTCTTCATTTCCCATTTCATTTCCCTTGATACCACTGAGCTAGGGCACATAGGTGACAAAAGGGAAAAAAAGAGTGAGGAGTCAGAGTACAATAGAGAGTGGGAAGGAAATTACTAGTCAGCATTCCTTTGAAGCTTGTTAAGGTTGCTCTGTTAAAATGGTGCCTCCTGCAGATCTGGAGGGCTACAGAAGAGCTACCTTAAGGGGCTTCAAATAAAGCTCATTGCTAATTTTCTCCCCTCTTTTCTCTTAACTTCTGTGTGGTTTATTGAGGAAAACTAACTTCCCAGTTGCAGCTTCACAGTGGACCCATTCACATTTTTCTCATATTTGTCACACCCCAAGTTCTGCAGTAGCACTCTTATATAAATGAGGGATTGAAAACTACTGTGTGATCAGTTCTATTGCACAACTACCTCTTTTTGACTCTGCTGCCAGCAACTTAGCTAAATTTGTTTTTCATGAAGTTCTTGAAACTTCCCACCTGTTGCTTCTCACACATTTTGATAACCACAAGAAAAACTGAGAGGTTAAAGAGCATATAAATGTCAGCTCTGCCAGGCAAGCATAAGAGGCTTCCTGTCTCAAGTATGGGTTGAAAACTCACGTTCTGGCATGTTTGTGTATCTTGCTTTCCCAGGAGGTTGATATGAAGGTGCTTTATCATGCCTGTCATCATCTGGCAGTGACTCCTCAACTAAATCATTTCTTAAACTATAGCTCTGCACTTTTCTATACAATTCCCCTCAAGTGTTTTTTTATTCTTTCCTCAAATTTATTAGAACATTATATTTAGTATCAGTATATGAGAAAGAATGTTTTGCTCCTAATAATTGGTCTTCATCACTCATGCCTGGCATGCATCTAGCCAGTTAGCTAAACTCATATCCAACTAGGGCTTGGAAAAGTTATTTTCTGGACTCCAACTCCCAGAATCCCCCAAGGTGACTGCATGATTTCAGGCCTCCAAAAATATGACATTCCCAGCCTCTATAGTCTGGCACATTTTGAGGTAAATAAAATGTTCAACTTAAAGGATAATTTGCATAGCAACCCAAACTAAAAAAGAAAAAGAGTTTTAAAATTAAACCAGGATAAAGTAGTAATAAGATCTGATAAAAAAAAAGAATTGTAAAACCAGATCCTCCAAACAACAATCAGAATGTCTACAAAAAAGGGTTCAATCAGAGGGAGGACACCTACCATGGACAGCCAGTCAAATGTGATAGTGTCAGGCCTGATCATGTGCTGAAGCAACCTGTTCAAGAAAAGTAAAACAGTTAAGGTTGGGGAAATATAAAATATAACAGAAGGCCCAGTTGAGGTACTGCTGAGGACATAACTGTTGCTTGTTGTTACTCTTCTTGAGCTTGCTGCTATTCAGTTTTCTGTATGTGGATCATAACATCCATTGGTGATTGCTAATAAAGTAAGGTTACAATAATAAACTAATGTGGAGTAAATCCCGTTATATTCAGTAGGGCTTATGTTATGCTGTAATAGATGTGTTTTGCAACACAGTTCAACTCATATTTTTAAGAGAGGGTTCTGATAAATATGGAAAGGAATGGCTATCATCCTTGTGGACATTTACAACTTTCTCCCCTTGGTACTCTCTAGAACAGCTTCCACCATCCATTTGCTAAGCTCCTTTTTAAAAGGGAAATCAGCTACTGCAAAGTAAACATAAGAGACAGTTCTGGGTATATGTGCTTTCTCTGGATTGTGTCAAAATTTCCTTAAAATAAATCGCCATAGCTTGCTTTTCTTTTGAAGAGTAGGAATGAAAAGAAACAACAAAGCTGTAAATTTCTTCTGCATATTACAGAATTTAGATCTCCATTATATATGTTACTCCTGGCAGGCTAAACGTTTAATTTTTTAATTTATATATATTTTGTTTGCCTTTTAAGAGCCCTGTGAAGTTGGCCAAGACTATCCTACAGATGAGGAAATAAGGTTTAAGAATCGGCGCGTTAGCAAAGGCTATTCATAGAAGCTATCCACCTTTTATTCTGTCAGTTGGCTTTCACTAGAAGGAATCATGTCATTCCCCTTTCTTGTCCTTTGATGTAAAACCATTGCTTACGAACCTCTGAATCCTTTCCCAGCAAATAATGAGCCAATTTGCTCATCTTCCAGATCCAGCCAAGACTGAACAAAGTTTCCTGAAAGTATGACTGGCAAGCTAATAAAGAGCCCATGGCGCCAGAAGTTATTCATACTTCTGGCACAGTGTAGGAACTGTATATGTATATGCATATTCTTCCCATAAAAACAGATGTAATATCCAGTTGTTGTCCCCCTGCTGTTGGATCCATAAATGAATTATACCTGGGTGATGAAGGTGAAAATGTTTCTAATTCCATAAATTGGGCAGGGTTCGTCAGAGAGGCTTAAAGGCCAAAACAGAAAATGCATGTGCCAGTCATCTGTATATGGCCATCATGTGGTTATGTAGCTCCCTATATTGTTATTTCAGTATTTTGTATACACCAGAGGAAATTATAAGACATTATACATAGATAACACTATATAAAGTAATTTTAGATAAAATTCAATACAGAATGTATTGTGTCTTGTACTTTTTTATGTGTAGAGCATGGATTATGTGGGGAGTGTCCACAGAGACAAAGGTCTATACGTAGCTCAGAATGCTGCCTTCAGAAGTAGGATTCATTATATTGCATGTTTTTTTCCTGTGCAGTCGAAGAAAAGGGGGCTGAGTGCTGAAGAGAAGAGAACTCGGATGATGGAAATATTTTTCGAAACCGTACGTTTGCTCTCTCAGATTGTATTGTGAATGGTTTCGTTGTGAACATGTAGTGAGCCTGAACTGAAAATATGCATATGAGATTGAGGGTTGGAGGAAAAAAAAACAACATTGAAGAAAATAGTGGTGACATGGCAGCTTCCTTTTTAATCCATACAGAGACATGTCCGTAGCATTCTTCTTTTCAAATGGTTGCTTTTCTCATGGTTCCTGCCTTATTGCAGCACTCATGATGCATATAGTCCTTGGAGAGAGAAGAGGGTAAAATAGCCTTAGAACAATTATAATTCCATTGGAGTTTCCACCTTTCACTGTAGTGTGAATAAACTCTAGGCTTCCTTTGCCTTTTTCTGCTGTCTCTCTCCCCTAACAGTAGCAGAGGGCAGATAAATTGCAACGCTAAAGCAAATAATTTTAATCTTTTCCATATTTTAATGTTTCAATTTAATTTTTAAATCGTATATTGTTTAATTTATCTTTTAATATTTAACTTACTGTGTTTTTAAATTGTGTGAATTTTAATGTTGTGAGCTGCTTTGGGTCCTTTGTTGGGAGAAATGCAGCATATAAATGAAACTAATAATAATGATGATGATGATAATAAAGGTTGACTTGATTTGGACAGTACCTGGGCTTAGGACAGGAGTGTCTAACTTGTAGTCCTCCAGATGCTGGACTACAAGTCCCATCATCCATCACCATCAATTATGCTGACTAGGATTGATGGGACATGTGATGCAACAAGATCTGGAGCATTACACATTCCTCAGCTCTGCTTAGGCAATAGTGTGAATATAATGATGGATCTTCCTGTATCTGCAAACAATATAAAAACAGAAAACTGAAGTGCAGATATAGATGTCATTATTTTAAATAGCATTAAAAAGCCCTGGATTTTCAGTATGCCTGGTTATTTGGAAGCTGGTCACAAGAAAAAGTTTAGCACTTTAATGGATCCTAGGGAAATTCTGCTTACTGCCAGAAATGAGCAGGTGGGAAACCATTGAAAGGTTCAACTAATACAGTGGTTTCCAACCTTGGACCCCCATTTGTTTTTGGACTAAAACTCTAAGAAGCCTTCACCACTAGATGTGCTGGCCAGGATTTCTGGGAAAGGTAGTTCAAAAACAGCTGGGGTCTCAAGGTTGGGAATCACTGAACTGGTACCATTCTGGGAGAGGTAGTTCAAAAACAGCTGGGGACTCAAGGTTGGGAATCACTGAACTGGTACCTACTTTCTGCTTCTCAGAGGTGAATGTGATGATTTGGTGAAGTGTCTTATGTAAATGGTCTTGACTCATGATTGTTAAACTTGAAGCCATAAGACCTCTATGCAGAGGAAGGAATTTGAAAGTGTTAGATGCTCTACAATTAAGGTTTGAAATGATTAGAACAGCTGTGTACTTATTTCCTCATTCCTTTCTCTCCTAACAGAAAGATGTATTCCAGTTAAAAGACATTGAGAAAATTGCTCCCAAAGAGAAGGGAATCAGTGAGTACCTAGACTTGTTTTCTATCAAACTTTTATTTGTAGTGACAAAGTGTTCTACAAGATCTTCAAATGTCAAAGATCCTGTTCTGAAAAGGTCTTGGAAAGTATGATTTTCATAGCAGTTCTATAAGGAGTGTATGAATGATATGATGCTGTTCTTACAGCAACATGAAAAAGACTGGTGGGGAACAATGAAGAATCAATGGTGATTTTTATATTGTCACCTTAAGGCAAGGATCCTCATGGGATTATGTTGGTAAATATTTTTACTGCAACTTTTATTTATTATGTATCATTCTGTTGTTACTGGCACATCTTTGCAGGAATGATGTGAAAATGTTTCAAATGGAGAAAGTGGTTGTTAGATTCTAATGTATGTTAACAAGAAGCAACCCTTCAATAAATACAGATAAACATATTTGCTGAAATCCTGTTCATAGTGTACACCAAAGCGTAACTATCCATTCCTCTTAACCAACAACTGTGCCAGCGACACTCAATTGAAGAGGGAGGAATGGAGGGAAAGTTACAATTTCACTTATGCTACACCAAAGCATAACTATCCATTCCTTGTTTCTTGGTGAACCAAGCCCTGCTGTCAGTCTCCTAACCAACAACTGTGCCAGCGACACTCAATTGAAGAGGGAGGAATGGAGGGAAAGTTACAATTTCACTTATGCTATCTACAAAATTTCAGCCATTGCAACAATATGATGTTTGTTTCTTTGACAGCTGCTGTGTCAGTGAAGGAGGTCTTACAGAGCTTAGTTGATGATGGTATGGTAGATACTGATCGGATTGGGACTTCTAATTATTTTTGGGCTTTTCCAAGTAAAGCTCTTCATGCAAGAAAACGTAAACTGGAGGAGCTCCAGAATCAGGTAATTCATATTTGTTGTTCTACCTGTTTGATGTAGTGGACAAAGTAACAGACTAGGACTCAGAAAGACTGGGTTCAATTCCCCACTCGACAATGAAATCTCACTGGAATGGTGGTGCTGACAAAACCACTTCTTAAACATCTCATCTTGAAAGCCCATTAGGGTCACCATAAGTTGGTTCTGACTTGATAGCACATTCTTCTTAGTCATCTGTCACATGTAGACTCCTGTCTAGAAGGGCGGGATATAAATCCAATAATAAATAAATAATAAATAAATAAAATGTAGACATAGAAATGACTGAAGGCCAGTTTTCAAGACACATTTCCCTCTACTTTGTTACGTGCATCAATTGAGCCTGTTTGCTTCATATTGAAAAGCTATTTGGCTTTTTTTTAAACCTGATCTGTCTGCTGATCTTTTCTTTCAAGTAATTTTTGTTTATTAAAAATATTTAAAAGCCATCCTTTAGTAAAGATTTTCAGAGTGGCTCTGGCTTGTGCTATATGAATTAGTGCTTAAATCCCAGATACCAATTTCAGTTGTTTGTTTTTAATAGCACTTAAATTATCTACTGAATATAACAATCATTTTACAACCATTATGCTGTTTTGAAGTGTGTGCACCTGGTTATAAATGTTAAGTTACACCTTAATGGTGACCATAATATAGGTCCTAGGTTATGAGCTTATTTGTTTTCAGAAAGTAATAATTGAGTGCTATTGATTCTGACTTATGGTAACCTTTGCCAGGATTTCTTTGTTACATAATAGAAGTGGTTTAGCAGTTCTTTCATCTAGGGTTCTGGGACCATGCAGCTTACCCAAGGCTACACAGCCTGGCTTTTATCCTGTAAGCCATGGTGAGGAATCAAATTCTTGACCTCTGGCTTGGCAGCCATGTAGTCAGCATAGTGATCTATTCAGCTTCTCTGCCTTAGATGTAATTAGATAAAGGTAAAGGTTCCCCTTGACATTTAGTCCAGTTGTGTCTGACTCTAGGGCGCGGTGCTCATCCCTGTTTCCAAGCCGTAGAGCCAGCGTTTGTCCATAGACAGTTTCCGTGGTCACGTGGCAAGTGCGACTAGACTTGGAACACCATTACCGTCCCAACGATGTGGTACCTGATTGTTGTGGGTTTTTCGGGCTCTTTGGCCGTGTTCGAGGGTTGTTCTTCCTGATGTTTCGCCAGTCTCTGTGGCCGGCATCTTCAGAGGACTAGAGTAGGAACCTATCTATCTACTCGCATTTTTACATGCTTTCGAACTGCTAGGTTGGCAGGAGCCGAGACAAACAAGGGGAGCTCATTCCATCGCATGGATTCGATCTTACAACTGCTGGTCTTCTGACCTTGCAGCACAGAGGCTTCTGTGGTTTAGCCCGCAGCACCGCCACGTCCCAGATGTCCCAGATTAAGACACTCATTGTGACACTTATGAGTTTAATGTATTCGTGAAGGCTTTCACGGCCGGGATCTAATGGTTGTTGTGGGTTTTTCAGGCTCTTTGGCCGTGTTCTGAAGGTTGTTATTCCTAACGTTTCGCCAGTCTCTGTGGCTGGCATCTTCAGAGGACAGCACTCTGTGCTCTGAGTGCAGTATTTATGGCTGTGAGATAGGCTTTTGTCTTTTTCTGTAGATGGATGTGGTCAAACAGGAGATGGCAAGAATAAACATTGACATCCTGGGCATCAATGAACTAAAAAGGACAGGAGTGGGCGAAATCAATTCAGACGATTATTTATTTATTTATTTACAGTATTTATATATATATCAGTTGCTGAAAAGTGGCAAATGGAATTCAACTGATTTATCCATTCAGGCTCTATGAATCAGATGTTCATCAGCTGTAGGATGATATCCTGTTTCCTATAAAAACTTTTGGCTTCATTTATTTGAAATGTACATCACATTCTTTGTGTTCACAATACTGTTTCAGGGGCTATGCTACTAAATCCATCATTCTTAAAGATTGGATAATAGAATGTGAAAGATACCTTTAAAGAGCTAGCCTGTATAGCTTTGAGCAAGCTGCACAGCCCCAGGGACCCCAAGAACAAGCAGCTAGTAAATCACTTCTGAGTAATATATACCTAGGAAATCCTTGCAAGGGTCCCCATAAGTCAACTTTGTTCATTGTTGTTGTTGTTGTTGTTGTTGTTGTTGTTGTTGTTCAGTGATCACTAAATTGTTGCCTGGTTTTCAAGAGTAAACATCAAGGCCAATGGGCATGTACCAATGGGCATTTGTCTTTTGACCAACATTTCATTTAGCATCCCCTGCAAAACATTTATTAAAATTCTGTGCAAATCAGTGGTGTTTGTTAGACTTGTGGTATGGAACCTAAATCTCTCATTCCTTATCTTACATTGTTCAAGAATATAAGACTCTTTCTTATGCACGATAGTATCTTATGGCATAAAATTCATGATATACCTAGTTTTTAAT